TGGCTGCGGCGGTGGCTACCTCGTGATCGCGTGGTTGTGGTCGATCGTGTGGCACTTCCCGCTCGACTTGATCAAGTTTGCGGTCAACTACGTCCTCAACGCCAACACGTACGCGTCGACGGCCTTTGACTCGCGCATCAACGCCGGCCACCCGTCCATGTCGCACGCGCGTGTGACGCAGCACGCCCGCTCGGTCCGCGCCTCGCGCACGGTCTAATTCTATAATCTAGCTCGATATACCTAAACTTTATGTCCTAACCCCAGTGTCGTCTTCGTCCGTCTATCGTTCTACTATTATAGCTCCTCATCTTACGGATTTGAATAACAACAAGTATACCGGACTAATAACAGCAATCTACGAGTCGACTGAGTGTTCCTCGTGTTCCCACTTCTGCATCCCTGCGCCGTCGTCGTGCGAGTAATAAAGTCTGCTATCCTGCGGTCGACATCAGTCCGACGCTGCAGTGGCACCTCTGCGGTTGTCAGTGGACGCTCTTCGAGAGGCTTGGGTGCACGCAGAAGTACTTAATAGTGGTGCACTCGATGGCGTCGACAAGAAAATAACGTGTTGTCGGAAACGAGTTGATACACGCGAAGAAGTATCGAGGGACTGCTCGTGTGCGACGACAGTGTTAAGGTCCTTGGAGCGGCCCCACGGACGCCGTGCTCGCAGAGTCGACCAGACCATACATCGGAGCAGGTCCCTGTTCGAGTGCGACGGCAAGTGAAGTGACGCGCCTGCGTGCGATGCAGTATCACCTCGTAGCCAGGGTTAAGACCTCAGTCGATTGACCCTTGGTCGTGGCGCTTCGGATCGTCGAGAAGCGGCCTCGCTCGTAAGCCGATAGGTTCGGAGAGGTTCTCCTCGTAGAGAGTTACGACGTGTGGGCGCCACTGCACAGATATGGACGCCCGTCGTCCTCTCTGCTGCATAGTACGCAGCCCTTTGACTTCCTATCAGTTGGCAATCAATCCTTCATCATTTCGTCGCTCCGGATGGCGGCGCATGGACAGCCGTGCTCTTCGTTGCAGCGCTCCTCTTGGGGCGCACGCCGGTGTCGTTGTCGTCGTAGTCGTCCACGTCGCCTGTGGCTCGCCGACGACACTCTGTACACACGCTACTCGACTCAATTGCTGGGTGGACCGGTCCGGATACCCTTGGAGGGGTAGGGTATGTATTCCGAGAGGTTATAGATTCTGGGAGGTGCCGGAAAGAGTGGGACGGCATTTGACTGGTGGTTGATTCGCATACAAATGGCAAGTGATTGCGTCGGGCGTAGTTATTGGCTGCGACACATTGGCATAAAAATACATGGTCGACTTGAATAAAAATACATACCTCGCGATGTCGATGCGGCGTGAAAACGGAATAAAAATGCGTGCGCGCGGCAATAAAAACGACGTCGGCAAAGCTTTGGCGTGGCGTAGTTTTCCATCGTCGGCCCCGATCTTTGCCCGTCATGGAGTTCGCCGAGTACGAGAAGATGCTATGGAGCCTCATGTCGCCCGACAACAGCGTGCGCAATATGGCCGAGGCGACGTTCGAGGGCATGAAGGCCGACAGCGATGGCACGCTCCTGCATCTGCTGCAGGTAGACATGCTGCACCACGAGGATACATGCTGATCGATGGATGCCATTAGGTCATTCGGTCGCCAGCGAGCGACGACGTGCGTGGCCTCGCCGCCGTGCTGCTTCGCCGCGTTCTCTTGCGCGACGAAGTCTCGCTGTGGTGCAACGCTAGCGACTTGACGCAGCACAGCGTCAAGAACGACCTGCTCACGGTGCTCACACACGAGGCCAACCCGTCGATCCGGCGCAAGCTCTGCGATACCGTCGGCGAGCTCGCGTCGTCCATCCTCGAAGAAGGTAGCAGCCTCGAGATTGTGTTGCATCCTCATGTATGCTAGGCGAATGGGACGAGCTCCTGCCGTGCATGTTTCACTGGATCACGTCGGCGAACGTCGCGCACCGCGAAAGTGCTTTGCGGGTGTTTGAGATGATCTCGCTCTTCATTGCGACAGCGATGAGCGACTACTTTGACACGACGATCCGGCAGCTCTTTGAGACGTGCCTCATTGACCCGGCCGGGCACGTGGCCCTCCACGCGCTCCGCGCGCTCGGCATGCTCCTCCTCAGCATTGACGAGCTCGACGAACGC